AACGCGGTACCCCAGCCTATAGGACTGGGCTCACCACGCTGTACATACAATTTAACAAACATAATCATGAACTTAAAATTAACATACATTGATTAACTAAAACAAAACAAATGTATAGTCACTCCACACTTTCAAGAACTATATACAAGTCCAAGCATGGACGGCTACCCAGCAGCATCGTTTATCGGTCAGAAAGGGGGGGGGGTGGGAATCAGTTAGGATAGTAGAGTTTAAAGAGATGTGTTTTGGGTGCAGTTTTGAAGGCTGTGATGGTCGGTATTTTGCTAATGTGTCATGGGAGAGAATTCCATTGTTTGGGGGCACAGAAAGAAAACGATCGTTTACCGTATGTTTTAGTGCGAGTCTCGGAGACAGAGAGAATACGCGCGTCTTCGGAGGAGCGAAGCTGTCGAAGGGGTGAATAGACCGAGAGAAGTTCGGTTAGATAGGAGGGGAGGAATTCGAGAAAAAGTTGTGGCAGAGAACAGAGAGTTTCTAGTCAATCCGTGCTTGTACAGGGAGCCGATGAAGTGAATGACGTAGTGGTGTGACGTGATCACGTTTTTTTTTTTTTTTGCCTTTAGAATTAGCCTTGCAGCTAAGTTTTGAACCTTATGTAATTTGTCTAAGAGGAGTTTTAGCGTCAAATTTCTTTTCTAACGCATTATTTTGTTTACTATGTAGTATAGTGCGTTAAAAAAGAATTTTAACGTGTGAAATGAAAAAAAAAAAAAAAAGACTCGACCAAATTTCCGTTCGATCAATTTTCCGTCGACGAAATTTCTTTCCAAAAAATTTCCGGATACTAAATCTTATGTGTGGATTTATACAAGCACAAACCAAACAAACAGGAGCCGATGTGCCGAAATGCGAACAGGTCTTTTGAAATGAAGCAACGAAGCCTCCCAGGCTGATTGAACAATTGAAGACAGAACACTCTGACAAGGCAATCAAGATCTGTAATTTTTTTTTTTTTCAATCACTTCGTGACGAACTTTATTTTTTTTTAAACGCATTATTGGCCGTCGTGAGTCATTCCACTTTTCAAGCCTGTCTGAATTAGAAGGGAAAGGTGGGATACAGGAAGTGAAAAGGTGGGATACAGGAAGTGAAAGGTGGGATACAGGAAGTGAAAGGTGGGATACAGGAAGTGAAAGGTGGGATACAGGAAGTGAAAGGTGGGATACAGGAAGTGAAAGGTGGGATACAGGAAGTGAAAGGTGGGATACAGGAAGTGAAAGGTGGGAAACCAACTTTTATGACGGAATATTATGATGGTGTCTAAAATATGTGACCAATGTACGACGATGATTGATTAGGGACCCAAAATCGTCCAAAATAGCCTGACGTTATTTATGGATGGCCCGTTTATGAACTGTTTAAAATGAATATTTTTGTCATGGCTCATTACTACTAGATCTACTTGTTTGGCTTCTCAAGATCTGGAAGTATGTTGTGTGATCTTTTGGATCTGCTACAGAAATTATGTCTGAGTGATTTACGATTTACTTTTGATTGGCATTCCACGTTGGGTGATAAATCCATTTTCGAATACTGAGACAGTTGGTGTTGATGATGAGCCAGTTTGTGTACATGATGCTGAGACAGATGGTGTTGTCGGTAGTGAGACAGTTGGTGTTGTTGATACTGAGACAGTTGGTGTTGTTGATTAAAATGATGTACAATTGAAGCCAAATGTCAGGAGCTGGAAAAGTGCGGGGGTGGGGGGGTGGGGAAGGAAATTTCGAAGAATCATTATTCTGCACCGTGTCGTTATCCAGCACTGTGTCGTTATCTTGCACTGTGTCGTTATCTTGCACTGTGTCGTTATCTTGCACTGTGTCGTTATCTTGAACTGTGTCGTTATCCTGCAACTGTGTAACGTGGTTAAGGAGCTTGTTGCCCTTCCAACATCGTATCTGACTGCCACGTGGTTTTAGAGTCATTGTTCAACTTTGCCAAAAGCAAACTCAAAGAAATGGGCTCTAGATGACCGAAGCGGGCAATGTAAGAGTCCTTTTAGGGCTCTAGATGACCGAAGCGGGCGATGTAAGAGTCCTTTTAGGGCTCTAGATGACCGAAGCGGGCGATGTAAGAGTCTTTTTAGGGCTCTAGATGACCTAAGCGGGCAATGTAAGAGTACTTTTAGGGCTCTAGATGACCGAAGCGGGCGATGTAAGAGTCCGTTTAGGGCTCTAGATGACCGAAGCGGGCGATGTAAGAGTCTTTTTAGGGCTCTAGATGACCGAAGCGGGCAATGTAAGAGTCCTTTTAGGGCTCTAGATGACCGAAGCGGGCGATGTAAGAGTCCTTTTAGGGCTCTAGATGACCGAAGTGGGCAATGTAAGAGTCCTTTTAGGGCTCTAGATGACCGAAGCGGGCGATGTAAGAGTCCTTTTAGGGCTCTAGATGACCGAAGCGTGGCTTTACACCCGACGTTGAAAAAAAAACAACTGAATTCACTTCATAAAGTCCATGCCACGCATTTTAAGAACATTCAAACACTGACGAAAGTTAGTTATACTACAATATGCACCAAAAGTTTATAACAGTACTGAAATTAGTCTGAATCGCCCGTGTCTTGCAACGCGCTGTGCGTTTGTTAACGGTCCTTGGCTCCACCAAACCCATGTTCTCAATCTTGGAAAGGAAGATATATCGGGCAGTTATTGTTGTTGCTAATGTCTCTCATTAGTATTCATAGTATTCATAGATGACAATTATTTTCGCGCGCACACTCTAACGCGATTTGTGAATCTTTCTCACGAGTTATTCATCAATCATGGGATCAGGGCTAATTTTGTATCAAAGTGTCATTCTCAACATTTCATTTATAATTGATAATTAATAGGTTTTAAGATAAAGAAACATTGATAATTCAATCTTACGAGACACGTGTAAATGCTACCTGGAGTACCCAACAGAAATCCCAAGATAGGATCAGGACCCATGGTTTGTAGACCACGCTCATAAAACAATGAAATTTAAACGAAGCTGCACCACAGAGAACGCCCCCCCCCCGGCAGCGTGGACCGTGTTAAGTGGGCAATCGCCTCGGGCGCCAGCATCAAGGGGGAGCCAAAAATAGTTTTTTTAGTTAGAGAGGACCTTTATGGTGAATTGAACGAGGAAAATCCCAAGTTCCTTACAAAGACAAGGGGCTCATAAAAACGTATCTATACTGGTCCACCCCGGGCGGCACTTGTCTCTATATCTTGAGGGAGGACATTTATGGCTACGCCACGCTTTCCTTTCAAGCGCCCCAGGCTGCACCTACTATTATTGTGCAAACAAAGAAACCTTATGTTTAATGTTTGTTCGAGACGGACGATCTTTATTCATACACAAAACAAGAAGAAAAAGAAAATAATAATACAGTAGAACCCACTTATGTCGACGGCCTCGGAGTTTTCCAAAACGCGTCGAGATAACCGATGATTGAGATAACCGAAACCAATATGGCGGCAATATATTAACATGTGCTTGAAATTTCTTTATGTACACGATGTGCGTTTATAAATGAGATGTACATGCACACGTTTTTGGAGTTTTGTTTTTGTTTTTTGTGTACACAACAGGGTTGCCACGATTTGTTGGATGGAGCGATCGGCATGCTATAAAAATGTACAGACATGTTTGCTAACAACACAAGGCATATGTTGGACGCCACGTTTCCGGATTATCCCGGAATTCCGGATTCGTGAGGCTAGATATTTATCAGCTTCGGATTCGCGACTTATTTTCTCTCGCTCCAGATTCGCCAGTTCAGTTTGAGTTTATTCAAATACGAATTCTGGGTTTTAAAAAAAAATTAACGTGTAAGAAAACGCTATGCATAGAACAGATACTACGAGCTCTCTCTTTTGTTTGCAAGCCTCTCGCTCCTCGCGTGTTGCTGTGTCAAGTTAATTGCGCGGACAACAATATTGTCATTTCATTTCAATTACTACAGTTTGAAGTAGGCAAGTTTTTGTTGTATATAATGTTCAAAAGCCGGCTATTGGTCATGGGGATCGAGATAACCAAGGTGAAATGTAAAATTTAACCACCTTTTGTGCTCGAGATATCAGGGTTTGTTGACATAAAAGCATCGATGTAACCGAGGAGAAAATGCTTAGACAAGGAGAGAATCTGGCGGTTCCACTTCCAAAAACGTCGACATAACAGGGTTGGCGAGTTAACCGAGGTCGAGATAAGCTGGTTCGACTGTACTATCTTTATTCATACAATCATCTAAAGAAAAAAAAAGAGTGAGCTTTATTCGTACATATTTATTTATTAGTACAAACATCTAGCAGATAGTTTAAATGTATACAAGTATCTGCCAAATGAATTATCTTTGTTTAAAATAACAACACAAAAAAAATTGACAGTAAGAGTATCTTCATTTATTCAAACATCTACCAATCAGATCATTTTAATGTCATCAAACATTTTCGCGTGAAAAGATCACAATTCACAGAAACGAGTGCCGGTGAGATCGTCTGTTTTCACTTTCACATTTAACAGTGTGAGACTTTTATTTGTATATATCACTGGAGAGAAAATGATGATTGATGTATTACTAAGCGGGTAATGACTAAGTTTACGATAAATCACACTTGATGACTTTTAAGCCCGTGTGGTTTTATTGAATGAACGGAAGCCGCTCACATGTTGATTACCTGCATGTTACTGGTAGGTCTCCTGGCTGGTGACCTGTGTCCTCACAGGCAGTTCAACTGTTGCATCACAGGTAGGACATCTGGCTGGTGACCTGTATCCACACAGGCAGTTAAACGGTTACAGCACAGGTAGGTCTCCTGGTGACCTGTGTCCTCACAGATGGTTCAACTGTTGCATCACAGGTAGGTCACCTGGGTATCAAAGTTAGGTCACCTGGGCATCACAGGTAGGTCACCTGCGCCTTCAAAGGCTTGTAGATAAATTTCCGTCATTTTTTATTAAAATATTTTTTTTTCCCCTGGGGGACACCCCCCCCCCCCCCAAAAAAAAAAAAACTTTGGGGGCTCGTAGGGGCCCGGAAGATCCCGTTTCTATTTGCATTTTAGGCGCAATGCCACTTCAAACTTCAAACGTTCAGGTCTGAGCAAGAGGCGAATGGTCATCTGTCTGCACGGACTCCGACGTGTCACAGCGCTTGACGTCATCGTGTTCCTCTCTCCAGATTCTTGGACCGGCCACCATCCACCCGGCAAGCTTGCTATCGCCACTCCCCATGATGTCCACCTCGTCCTGGCCATCGTCTGCCGTATCACTCAGTAAAGCGACGTGGCTCGAGCTTCTCTCCGAGGTCAAACTAATGGTATCTCCCGGAACCGTGCGTTCGTGCGTGTCACGGGGCATTTTGTAAAGCAGAAGGTATTTTGGATTCTCTTTCCGTTTGGTCACGTTCAATTTGTCTTTCTCTTTCCCGAGCAAGGAAGAGTACAAGTTCCTGTTGTCGTAGGACCGGAGAAATCCATAGTTAAGCCCCTTGAAATGTTTGTATCTATTACCCAATACTTCTGCATCCAGCATACCGTGATCGGACTGGATGTCGTTCGACAGCATCTCCGGGTAATCGTGGATGGAGAACGGCACAGGCGAGACGTAGGAGTAAGGGACGGGGGAACGAGGGGCGTAACTGAAGGATTTGATGACGCGCCTTATGCTCTGGTACAGGAGGAGGGAGAAATAGAAAACGAAGTAGCACCCGCAGGCCACGGACGTGGCGATCGTCACGCTGTCCATGACGAACGGGGACTCTTCCAGTGACGCTATCGTCAGCAACAAGACCGGGAGTGCCGCCCGCGACAACACGCACACAACGCAGCAAACGACGGTCAGCTTCTTGTAGGATTCCGAATTCCTTCTCGCCAGCTTGACCAGTCTGCAACATTCCAGGGGCGTGGAGCCGACCTCCATGAAAGACATCGTGACTCCGAAGAGAAGGTTTTCCTTGTAGCCGAGACTGACCAAGCAGGAGGCCGCCACCAAGATGTTGTAGATGAAATCGAGGTGACGGTAACCGGAATGACCAGCCGTCGCGACCGACGCGGTGCCAGACTGGGTGACCGCCGTTTCTTTGACGAGTAGGATCCGGGTGGCCGCAAACAGGTGTCTGGCGACGGTGGCGTGTAGAATAACGCCGAGGAGGAAACTCGGGTACGGGTTGGGCTGGTGGCTAAACGGAAGTGACGACACGGACGTGTAGGTCAAGGCTATGAAAATGGCGACGATGAGCGTCCAAAGGGTTAGCTGTTCAGTCAGCCTGAGGAATGGGGAAAAATAGATCGTTACAAAATTAGTTCATAATAATAATAAAGTTTTTTTTTTTTAAAACACGCTTCATCCCCAAAGGCTCGAAGCGCGGTACAAAGTTATATAATTTACCACATTTAAAACAAATGCAACACTACAAAAACTAATTACAAGCATAACAAGTCAAAGTCTTTCTACCCATTTGAACCATAAGCAACACAGCCAATATGCATTAACTGGAAAATATGGTAGACAAATCATCCCAGAAGGTATTTGCGAAATAGATGTGTCTTTAAATCGGTTTTAAAGGACTCCAGTGTCTGGTTGTTTCTGAGATCGCCAGGAAGGGCGTTCCAAATTGTTGGACCAGCAAATGCGACCGGCCTAACGTTTACCCAGAGTATAACAGTAGTATAGAGGGTGCAATTTGTGGAGTCTGCCCAGGGAGGCCTTTAGTCAAAGGTAGCCACAGGGCAGCACGCGAGGTCTAAACATGAAAAGCCATATCGTGTAGTGGTTATTTGGGGACAGGGCCAATGTTCCCTTTAAGCTGTGCGGCCGCGCAGCTATCTCACAGACGCCGCGCAGCAGTTTTGAGTATCCGCGCAGCAAATTTCCATGTAAGTGTGTGTTTGTGTTTGTCGGCTGTAAAATTTTGCACACAAAAAAAAAATGATGCTGTAAAACTTTGCACACAACTGTATGATTTAGCACACGAACCAACAAACCTTAGAGGGAACATTGGACAGGACTCTCATTCTTTTAAAGGTCCTACTTGAATTTAAATGCACTTACTAAGGGATCATTGTTGTAGCTCTTGTGTGTACGGAGAGCATATGTGTGCGGTTGTGTGAGTGTGTGTGTCTGCTAGTAAGTTGAGCCACACACACACACACACATTGGGGCTGTGCTACCAATGTTAGCAACGAACACGATCTTATAACTGATTTATTGATTGCGAATCCGGAGGGGGGGGGGTGTCGGCCAACACTACCGCACTCGCCAACAGCTCCAATGTGACGTAGTCTGTTGTTGTCCAACCTCCAGAAGTATGTGCGCAGGGGGCAGTGCTCGGTGCGCATCTGCGTAACTAAACTCTGCACTCTACGACCTAACCCCCACCATGGGTCTTGTTTGCTAGGAGTAGGCAAGTTCGAATAGACGCCTCTGGCGGTCGTGTTGTCAGCCCATTGCCTGTACCACTTCTGCCTGAAGTGGTCCGCCAGCCAGTTTTTGACTCCCAAGAAAGTCATTGGTACTTCTGGCTGAGGCTGGGCAGCCCCGGTTTTCGCCAGAGTGTCAGCTATCTCATTGCCACTGATGTTGACATGCCCTGGTATCCATTGCATTTCAACCTTGCACCCTATTTCATCAAGTCTGCATATGTCGTTGTGAATGACGTCGACCAAGCTTGTGGTACCCTGTCTCTTCTCCAAGATCTCAAGAGCGGATCTTGAGTCTGAGAAGACGACAATATCGAGCCCCGCATGCTCCGTCCCTTCCAGAGTGACACGGACTCTCTCCAAGGCCTTGTGCATAGCTATAAGCTCCGCGTCGAAGTTTGACGCTGTAGTCCCACAAGGCCCGGAGAGTTTTTCATCGGGCGGTCCACCTACTGGGTACTGAATAAGCGCACCGTACCCAGCAGTTTTTTTCCTAAAGTCAGCAGAGCCGTCCGTGAACACTTTCACAGGTATGTGCGTGAACACATCCATGGTCTCAAGGGCAGCCACTCTCTGTACATGTTCAGGGCTTCGTTTCGTCACTGCTGCATCTGTCAAGGCCAAATGTATGGAGGGGCGTGAGGGTTCCGCATAAGGCGGATTAACTGGGATTTGGGTCAGGCGTTCTCTATTTGGGGGCAGGGGGACTGTCCTCTCCAGCTCCACGACCTGGTGCATGAAAGAGGACCTCTTTAGTCTCCTGCCACCCACCCAGTTATTTTGCATTTGAAAGGCTGGTTCATTTTCACCGAGCCGTCGGTACCTCTCTACGGTATTTAAGATGGATTTTTCCCTCCTAATTTGTAGCGGTTCTACATTGGCCAAGACTTCTACAGCAGCTGTGGGAGTAGTCCTGTATGCGCCACAGATGAATCTCAGTGCCTGATTCTGGATTCGGCCCAGTTTTTCCAATGCGGTCTTGCTTGCAAAGGATTGGACCGGCATGCTGTAATCCATCACCGACCTTACACTGCTTAGAAAGAGAGCTCTAAGCGTACTTGCGTTCGCGCCCCAACTTGTGCAAGCCAATTTTTTCACCAGGTTAAGCTTGGCGGTCGCCTGGGAGCAGAGGTCCTGTACAAAATTGTGCATTTGTACCTTTTGGTCCAGCTTAACTCCCAAGTAGACCGGTTGTTTGTCCCACTTTAGCGCTACATCGCCCACCTTGAGCTCGATCTCCTGTTTGAGAATGGTCCGCCCATTTGTGAAGAGTGAATAGACCGTCTTCTCGGTGTTAATTTCCTGGTGCCACCGCCGCATGTACCTGTTGATAGCAGAAAGGTCCTGCTGTAATAGCGTCTGCAGGCGGTGGACATCCTTCCCGGTGCTCCAAATTACCAAATCGTCCACATACATGGCAGAGCTAGTCGTTAGCACCTGTGGCAGGTCATTGATGTAGGCGAGGAAGAGGGTGCAACTGAGGGCAGACCCTTGCGGGAGTCCTTCCTCAAGTGTCCTCTTCCTGGAGGTTTCACCGCCGAATTTCGTGTTTATCGTCCGGTTTGTGAGAAAACCGGAGATCCACCTGTACATGTTCGCGGTTACTCCCAACTCCTGCAGTTTCAACAATAGACCGGACCTCCAAACTCGGTCGTAGGCTTGTTTGAGGTCGAAAAATACTGCCACTGTATGGGATTTCTTTTGGAGCCCATCTGTTATGGACTGGAGAAGACGGAGCACTTGGTCCACTGGCTGCATTCCCTTGCGGAAGCCCGCCTGTATTGGGCTGAGACTCTTAGTGCTCTCCAAGTGCCAGTAGAGTCTCTGGTTGACCATTCTCTCGGCCACCTTCCCTAACATCGATGTCAGGGAGATCGGCCTGTAGCCATCAGGTTTATCGAGTTTCTTCCCTTCTTTGGGAATAGGGACGATGGTAGCACTTAGCCAAGCTTTGGGTAGGATTCCCGTTACCCATGTTCTGTTGATAATTTCCAATAGCGTTGTCCTTGCTATTGGGCCAAGGTTTTTTATCATTTCGTTGCAGATTTTGTCCTGACCTGGTGCCTTGGCGGCGTCACACTTGTTAATGGCGGTTTGCAATTCGGCCAAAGTGAAAGGTGCGGTGAAAACTTCAGCATGTGGCCCCCACTTCTGGGCCACTTCTCCATTTCGCCGGAGACGGTTAAGGTTCTGGCTCTCTCTGGTCTCTTTCTGCTTCCGGTTTATCTTTGCAAAATGCTTGTTTAAGGCATCGGCACTTTTGGCATCTGTGGTAGCCGTGCCTGTCGTCGTTTGCAACGGTCGCAGATTCCTGATTTTTCCCGTGCAGGATAATGAGTCCATCAATCGCCAGACCTTTTTGCCGTCTTTCAGGTCGAGTTTTCCACATGAACTAACCCATTTTTCCTTTTTTGCCCTATCGACCTCCCGCCGGACCTCTGCCGTCAGTTTATTGTAAGCCGCTCGAGCAGCGACCGTCTTCAACTTACCGGCTTTGGTCCGGGCTCTCTTTCGTTCACGGACTAACTTTGCCAAATTCTTATTCCAAAAAGGACGGAACTTGCGGTTCCCGTTTGTTCTCGGGATCGTTTGTTTTGCCACAGTGAGGATACCACTCACAAAGTCGTTGTATGCATCGTCAATGCTTTTGGATGTATTGGGAGTCTCAGTTGACTCCGCAATCATGCGTTCTGTTCGCTCCTGGAACAGGGACCACTTGGCTTTACCAAACAACCAGTGTCTCCTAGCAAATCTAGGTCTTATAAGTGAAAGACAGATTGTAATGAGGGTAGGTTTGTGGTCACTGCCAATCTCATCTAGTACTTCACACTGGGTCTTTGCCTCGAGCTCAGCAGAAACCAGTGTAATGTCGGGCCGTGACAGGGCACTATTTCCCGTGTGGAGCAGTGTGGGTTCACTGTCACCGTTCTGAAGTCTGATAAGATTGGTTGTGAGCTCAACCTCCTCTAAATAGCGCCCAGAGGCGTTAGTATCAGGGTAGCCCATATCCCCCATATGGGCATTAAAATCTCCAGCTATGATCCTATCACTAAAAGTAGTTGTGCCTTGCAGTGGCAGGCACAGAGTAGGCACAGCTGTATTTCCATGCAACTGAATGATTCAATCTGCTCACAGACATAATCACATTTTTAGTGATGTCACGTGCTTTTTTAAAATCATTTCAGGATTATGGGAACATTATCTGTAATCAGGGCAATTAGAAAGTAACACATAAGCAGAGCAACTAATCTTTAACCAGGGAAACTAATAATAAATATGTGATCAGGACAACTACTGTGTAATCATCAACATGATTAAGAATTCAAGTCTGATTTTCGAGTTCTTTCAGTTCCGTTCTCTGAACGCTGGTTTGAACCGTTCTGAAAATGTGTCAAGTTTTTTCTAAATGAGAATAGTATGATCTTGAAGAACTTGATTTATATCTTGATGGAATCAGAATGGAAATTTATTCCTGCGAAATGTTTTGATTACATTGTACGTACTGATTTTGAGCACTCATTACAACCGGCGCTTACAATTTAAACACAAGACATCTGAAGTAATTCACTAGCGTAGAAATCAGCCACAAATGAACTCCTTCCGTGACAATAAAGACTTAAATAGTGATCATTAGATATACCATAAGTTAGTTTCAAGATACATTTACATTTTGAAGCTTGTTCAGCTAAAGGAATGCTAAATTTTGCATTACTTTATTGCAGATTTCCCCAAAATATATGTCCGCAAAAATCTTATTTTCAAAGTAATGATCTTATTTTTTTTCTTATACTTCCTGTAATTTGGTTTTCGAAAACCCAACTTCCGGCAATAACATTAATGGCGGAGTAACACTTACGTTTTTGAACTACTTTCTATTTCTTGTTTATTCATTTGTCCTGTCTGCCGAGGACGGCTCTTAGCCGAAACGTTCTACTTTTGTTGTCCTGTCTTGATATTTCAAGCGTCCACATACCTTGTTCTACGTTTTCCTTCACACGGCTTGAACACAGTCCTTCATTTATTATCCAGGCTATTAGCTGGTAAATATAAGTACTAGTTGTTGCTCGTCAAGCATTGGCTACGGCACAGCGTGAACTTCCCATCTACTCAAGTTTACCCAGAAAAGCATCGACCGGTTGGAGGCGGTCCAGCGACGGGGCAGCACGCTTTGTCCTGAACCGCTACAGAAACACCTCAAGTGTTGGCAGCATGCTAGAAACACTGGGCTGGTCACCGTTGGAAGAACGACGACGACTATCCAGGCTCACCATGTTGTGCAAGATAAAAAAATGGGCTGGTCCAATGCTCCGGCATCAAACAGAAACTCGTTCATCTTCCCCATAGACAGCGACGAGGCCACGACAGGCAGTTCCGGCTGGTAAAAACAAGAACAAAGTACAGGAGCTCCTCATTCCTGCCGAAGACAATAGGGGACTGGAACAAGCTTCCAAAAGCAACAGTTGAGGCTGCTACACTCACTCGACACATTTGTGTCTAATGCCTCCTGTATTCCAACCCCCAGTTCGTAATACCACTGCTGAGTAGCCCTTGCAACCAGTGAAGTATCCCATTGAAACCCATGGACAGTAACATTGCGAACCCCTCTGAAACATAGGAGCCAGAATGATCAATTCATTGATCGAGGGCCCTCAAAATAAAGAAGAAGAAGAAGTTACTTGACAAAACATGAACTCAACTAACGCACATTTAAGAATCCCAATTTTTGCTACACCCTCCCCTCCACCCACCCCAATAATACACCACTGCACACTTTTTATTTCACGCCAAAGAACTATATTAATATTCTGATGTCCAAACAACTTTTAAACCGAATATTTACTACACCATCTTTCAATTGAGACGAGTTCATTTTCCGAAAAGAAAATATTACGCACCAAACGCAGTTGCGTTATTAAAAAAAAAATAATCATTTAACGTTATGGGGAATTATATTTTGAGTGCGATCCGAAAATGGAAGCAGTCACACCACAAGCAAGATACAGATAAGAGATTCACCGCTCCTCTTGAACATCCGAGATGCATGTGTGCTGCTTTGTTTGCATGATTACGTCTCAAATTTTTTTCAAAAAGAGCTTTTGAACTTTTTTTTTTTTTAATAACTTAACTAAGTTGACGTAACTATTTATAACATTCACCTTCACACAGCGGTGTACTGGAGTTGGTTCAGCCTGGTTAGGGTGGTTCAGACTGGTTAGGGTGAACTGGTTTTTTAAAGTTTGACACTTCTAAAGAACCGTTTTTTGTTTTTTTTAAATGTCAAAATAATATAAAAATATACAAAACACATTTGCGTTTTTTTTTTTCTATGCTATAACCGACCATTATCGAATCGGCGCTTGATTGGCAACACACCACTGCCTCCTCGGGCGCTTGATTGGCAACACACCACTGCCTCCTCGGGCGCTTGATTGGCAACACACCACTGCCTCCTCGGGCGCCTGATTGGCAACACACCACTGCCTCCTCCGGCGCCTCCTTGGCAACACACCACATTGATTGGCGACACACCACTGCCTCCTCGGGGCGCTTGATTGGCAACACACCACTGCCTCCTCGGGGCGCTTGATTGGCAACACACCACTGCCTCCTCGGGGCGCTTGATTGGCAACACACCACTGCCTCCTTCAAACACAGACTCAAGGCAGCCAAAATCTCATAATTATCTGCGTTGTTTTAATTTATTTATTATTATTTTTTTATTTTGTTTTACTTACACTCTCGCTAGAAGGTTCGGTCTCCTCCCATGCAGATCTGCTAATGTTTGAACCAAAGAGCACCTGAAACTGGCCGCGGTCACTGCGCAGTCCACCAGCCTGGCCAAGATGAGGTGGATGAGCACGCAGCTGTGGGCGGCCAGGGCAATCACCAGGAGGTCGTACTGCGTGACGACGAACGGCGCCATCGATGGTATGAAATGTCAGGGGCTGTAGCTCAAATGTCAGGGGCTGTAGCTCAAATGTCAGGGACTGTAGCTCAAATGTCAGGGCTGTAGCTCAAATGTCAGGGGCTGTAGCTCAAATGTCAGGGGCTGTAGCTCAAATATCAGGGCTGTAGCTCAAATGTCAGGGGCTGTAGCTCAAATTTCAGGGCTGTAGCTCAAATGTAAGGGGCTATAGCTCAAATATTAGGGCTGTAGCTCAAATGTCAGGGCTGTAGCTCAAATGTCAGGGGCTGTAACTCAAATGTCAGGGCTGTAGCTCAAATGTCGGGGCTGTAGCTCAAATGTCGGAGCTGTAGCTCAAAAGTCATGGGCTGTAGCTCAAATGTCAGGGGCTGTAGCTCACATTTGCCTTGTCTATTCCCAGCTTTATATCGCCGTGTCGGTGGATCCGTTATCTAAAAATGTTGCTTTTCCCACCGAGAAAATCCACTCCTGGCTTTTCAATTTTTTTTTGTTTTGTATGTGAAACTTTAGGCCCAGAATATTCAACTCTAGGTCAATTGATCAATTAATGTTGAGAGACGTTGGCCACAAATTTCATTTCTTCGTCGGCGGCGATCATTCCTACAATGCTTGTGACAGCTCCTGTGACAGCTCCTGTGACAGCTCCTGTGACAGCTCCTGTGACAGCTCCTGTGACAGCTCCTGTGACAGCTCCTGTGACAATACCTGTGAAATAAAAGAACGTCACGTTAGTTACCCAAGAGTCTGTTTGGTCATCCTCTTGACAAAAAAAATCAAATAAACAAGGACCTAGTAGCGCTAAATAGGGAAAACTGGTTGAAATATGAGATGACTAAAAGATAGTTGTGTTATTTTAGAAATACTTCGTTGAGTAGGACAATACACAAGTCTTGGTGTTCAGTGTGTCCACAAACCCATCAGATTTCGTATTATCCAGTGTGTCCGCAGACCCATCAGATTTCGTATTATCCAGTGTGTCCGCAGACCCATCAGATTTCGTATTATCCGGTGTGTCCGCAGACCCATCAGATTTCGTATTATCCAGTGTATCCGCAGACCTATCAAGGTTCGTAGTATCCCTGACCTATCAGGGTTCATAGTGTCCAGTGTGTCCGCAGACCTATCAGGATTCTTAGTGTCCAGTGGGTCGACAGACTTAAAGGGTCCACAAAAAATCTTGGATATCCGCGTACCTTAGGTCATTTAAATGCATTTAAAAAAAAAAAATCAATTATTATTATAATAATAATAGGGTTTGTGATTTACAAGATCGGAAAACGTCATGTCGAATTGCGCAATGTTGCTATTTTTAGACAATGGTTTCGTAAGACACGGTTTCTAATGCAATGTATGTCCACATACATATAGCAGTAACCATTTTTGTGTCAAATCTTTCGTAACATAAAGCCGTTACCATGTGTCCGCCCAGGTTAAGGTTTACAGTGACGTAGAAGTACCGGACAGCTACTGGGAGACTGGCCAAACGGACCACCAGGACGTGTTATTACTATCTTAATGAGATTGGCCTGACTGTACCCCCCACCCCGACTCTTTTTTTTCTTCTCCCTCTAGATGTTCTATTAATAGATTCCAGCCATTTAAATGACAAACCCTATAGTTGCCAACCACATATAACAAGTTCAAGGCCATAAATTCAGGGATTGTGGGTTCAAAAGGGGTTGGGGTTCAACCGGGGTTGTGGGTTCAAAGCCTCTTAGGGTTTTGATGGGCTGTGAGTGAAACACGTCTGTGTGGGTTTTTGCTTTCTTTAAAAAATATTTTTAAAAAATTGTTTTTAAATATTTAATCGAAATGTTAAAAAAAACTATTTTGTCTTATTCTAATACAACCAATCAACACAGTTTGTCGAATGCAATATCAATACCGTAATCTCTAACAAAGCTACAACGTCAACATTTTCAAACGACAGTGAAGTTTTCTCTGCCTCTGTAGCGGAACAAAAACTAGGGGAAAAAAAAAAAAAAAGACAAAAAAAAAAAAGCTTACCACGGGGAAACGGAAGTACGTATTAAGAAGTCGCCATAGAATTAACAAAATCGAATTTAGCGGCTCAGAAAACTCAAATAGGTATATAAATATATACAGAGGCGTAGCGATGGGGGGCAGGGGGGACAGATGTCCCCGGGCGCAAGCTAGTTAGGGGCGCCAAAATGAGATTTGATATTATTTTATTGGTAAAAATAATGGGTTTGAGAGTTAAAGAAAAGAAAAGGGGGCGCTTTAAAATGGATCTTGTCCCCGGGCGCGAATCTTGTCCCCGGGCGCCAAACACCCTCGCTACGCCACTGAATATATATATCTATATATATATCTATATATTAATAATTAAATAAATATATATAACAACAAACATCTTTTCCTTTCATGCACAGCGACCACTTGGCACCCTCCCCCCAATCCCTCCCTCTTTAAACTGCCCCCCCCCAGGTACGTCACTAGGTGGGGACATTTTCTTTAACAACTCTAACATTGAGACGTTTCGTAACCGAAGACATTTCAGGAGGGGCAGAATGTCAAATGTCCATGTGCAACCCATCACCATGTGTTCATGTGCAACCCATCACCATCTGTTCATGTGCAACCCATCCCCATCTGTTCATGTGAAACCCATCACCATCTGTCCATGTGCAACCCATCACCATGTGTTCATGTGCAACCCATCACCATCTGTTCATGTGCAACCCATCACCATCTGTTCATGTGCAACCCATCACCATCTGTTCATGTGCAACCCATCACCATCTGTTCATGTGCAACCCATCACCATCTGTTCATGTGCAACCCAGCACCATCTGATCATATGTTCATGTGCAACCCATCACCATCTGTTCATGTGCAACCCATCCCCATCTGTTCATGTGCAACCCATCACCATCTGTTCATGTGCAACCCATCACCATGTGTTCATGTGCAACCCATCACCATCTGTTCATGTGCAACCCATCACCATCTGTCCATGTGCAACCCATCACCATCTGTTCATGTGCAGCCCATCACCATCTGTCCATGTGCAACCATCACCATCTGTCCATGTGCAACCCATCACCATCTGTTCATGTGCAACCCATCACCATGTGTTCATGTGCAACCCATCACCATCTGTTCATGTGCAACCCAACACCATGTGTTCATGTGCAACCCATCACCATCTGTTCATGTGCAACCCATCAACATCTTTTCATGTGCAACCTATCACCATCTGTTCATGTGCAACCCATCACCATCTGTTTATGTGCAATCCATCACCATCTGTTCATGTGCAACCCATCAAAATATGTTCATGTGCAACCCATCACCATATGTTCATGTGCAACCCATCACCATCTGTCCATGTGAAGCCCATCACCATCTGTTCATGTGCAACCCATCAACATCTGTTCATGTGCAACCCATCACCATATGTACATATGCACATCCCCATATGTCCATGGGTAACACGAATCCCCATGTCCAAGTGATCCAACTTTGCTCCACATCAGCGGTTCTCAATATGTGGGTGGTGACCCCTTTGGGGGAGGCGGGTCGAACGACCCTTACACGGGGGTCGCCTAAGACCATAGGAAAACAAATGTTTATGAAGTAGTGACTAAAATAATTTTATGGTTTGGGGGATCACCAAAACACGAGGAACTGTTTTAAAGGGTCGCGGCTTTAGGAAGTTTGAGAACCACTGCTCTACATTGACCCAAATAAAGACCTAGTCCCTGCTGCTACAGGGATTGTTTTCAATCTTGGTCAGATATATGGGGATTGTGAAACGGAAATGGTATTGTTTCGGTTATCGTCTGTCAGTGGGTGTCAGGGGAAAGAAATCTCCGGAGATGAAATTGAGTTAGTAAGTCACAAGATGTGACCGGAAATGAAAACGACAGGCTCGTGTACGGATCAACAGCCAATGGCGCGAGTAAGGATCAACAGCCAATAGACTTGTAGGCATTTCTAGAAATATATATATATATATATATATATATATATAAGTGAATAAGCAAATTGAACGTATGAAATTCCTGAAATTCATGTATACTTTATTGTTCACTTCAGTTATATAATATGAACTTATTTGCGAAACAAGAATATTTAATTAAAAATACTCTCTAGTCTGCAACTAGTGGCGTGGTGTCATTAGGATAGAGAAGTGGTGACATTGGGAGAGAGAAGTGGTGTCATTGAGATAGAGAAGTGGTGTCATTGGGAGAGAGAAGTGGTGTCATTGGGAGAGAGAAGTGGTGTCATTGGGAGAGAGAAGTGGTTCATTAGGAGAGAGAAGTGGTGTCATTGGGAGAGAGAAGTGGTGTCATTAGGAGAGAGAAGTGGTGTCATTGGGATAGAGAAGTGGTGTCATTAGGAGAGAGAAGTGGTGTCATTGGGAGAGAGAAGTTGTGTCATTAGGAGAGATAAATGGTGTCATTGGGAGAGAGAAGTGGTGTCATTGGGAGAGAGAAGTGGTGTCATTAGGAGAGATAAATGGTGTCATTGGGAGAGAGAAGTGGTGTCATTGGGAGAGAGAAGTTGGTGTGGTCAAATTTCTTTTTGAACACACTATACTTTATAGTAAACCAAAATAATGCGTTCAAATAGAAATTTAAAGCAACACTTGATCGTGTGAAATGAAAATAAAATGTGATCAAATTTCCGTTCAACCAAACTTCCAACGATCGATATTCCGTCGACGAAATTTCGTTTAAACAAATTTCCGGATAAGCGTGCACACAGAACACATGTATCAAACAGGATGTATCTCATTCAGCACAATCAATAGTTGTCGCACATCAAAAAAACTTATATTATTAAATAGGTCTGCGTGGTTACACATCGAATGAACTTTAATTATTAAATAGGTCTGCGTGGTTACACACCAATGAACGTATATTATTAAATAGGTCTGCTGGGTAGTTAAACATCAAATGAACTTTTATTATTGAATGACGCTGCATGGTTACACACCTTATAGTCCCACAACGTCACGTTTGGAAATGGCATCGGTGGGTCGTCGCGCGCCAGCTCTTAATACTCCCCCCCCCCCCCCCTCGGCACACCCCCACATGGTCAGGGGCACCCAAGCGCCAGACCGCGCGGAAGCACGTCGGGGACCTCGCCATCCCCTGGCCTGGGGGACGTCCGGTCGACCAAAAACGCTGCGTTTAAAGCGTTCGCGGTCCACTCTCCACGGCTCGGAACAGCTTAGCTTCCACTCCGGGGAAAAGGTGTTGCGTTACCTTCCCCCACCCCCTTCGCCGTCCAGGCAGTCGTCCCGTCGGGACGAAAGCTGGGACGAAACGGTCGCCTAGGAGCGGCTTTCTCAGGGGCGAGTCCAACAACAGCTGGTCAACAGCGGTTGGGGTTAAGACACACATGTGTGTAAGTGTTTAAGAGGGGAGGCGTGACCCGGATTCTGCCAAGGGCGTGTTGTACAACGTGCCCAAATACCCCGAATCGAAAAGGGCACCAAAAGTACTTAACTTATGGTCAATCGTGGAAGCCAGATAGTTGTACCATAAACAATGTACAGGACAGCTGTACCGACAATGTATTTGGTAGATTAAACAGTGTAGTTATACACAATACCAGACAGATGTACCAACTGTGTTTGACAGACTACAAAGCACGTGTACTCTTATTGTGTTCTAGTGCATTTGAAAATAAAGTATACCCAACTTAAAGAATCATATAATAAAGTGACCGCCTATACAGTAAGGGTATAAAGTGGCCGCCTATATAATAAGGGTATAAATTGGCCGCCCATATAGTAAGGGTATAAAGTGGTCACTTATATATTAAGGTTATAAAGTTGCCGCCTTTATATTAAAAGTATAAAATGGCCGCCTATATATTAAGGTTATAAAGTGGCCGCCTATATATTAAGATTATAAAGTGGCCGCCTTTATAGTAAGGGTATAAAGTGGCCACTTATATATTAAGGTTATAAAGTGGCCGCCTATATAGAAAGGATATAAAGTGGCCACCCATATAGTAAGGGTATAAAGTGGCCACTTATATATTAAGGTTATAAAGTGGCCGCCTATACAGTAAGGGTATAAAGTGGCCACTTATATATTAAGGTTATAAAGTGGCCGCCTATATAGAAAGGTTATAAAGTGGCCGCCTATATAGTAAGGTTATAAAGTGGCCGCCTATATAGTAAGGTTATAAAGTGGCCGCCTATATATTAAGGTTATAAAGTGACCGCCTATAAAGAACGGATATAAAGTGGCCACCCATATAGTAAGGGTATAAAGTGGCCGCCTATATAGTTAGGTTATAAAGTGGCCGAGTATATATTAAGGGTATAAAGTGGCCGCCTATATATTAAGGTTATAAAGTGGCCGCCTATAAAGAAAGGATATAAAGTGGCCACCCATATAGTAAGGGTATAAAGTGGCCGCCTATATAGTTAGGTTATAAAGTGGCCGAGTATATATTAAGGGTATAAAGTGGCCGCCTATATAGTTAGGTTATAAAGTGGCCGCCTGTATAGTTAGGTTATAAAGTGACCTCCTATATAGTTCAAGTCGGTGGTACGTCAAGTCGGTGGTACATCAAGTCGGTGATACATCAAGTCGGTGGTACGTCAAGTCGGTGATACATCAAGTCGGTGGTACGTCAAGTCGGTGGTACATCAAGTCGGTGATACATCAAGTCGGTGATACATCAAGTCGGTGGTACATCAAGTCGGTGATACATCAAGTCGGTGGTACATCAAGTCGGTGATACATCAAGTCGGTGGTACATCAAGTCGGTGATACATCAAGTCGGTGATACATCAAGTCGGTGATACATCAAGTCGGTGGTACATCAAGTCGGTGATACATCAAGTCGGTGGTACATCAAGTCGGTGATACATCAAGTCGGTGGTACATCAAGTCGGTGATACATCAAGTCGGTGGTACATCAAGTCGGTGATACATCAAGTCGGTGGTACATCAAGTCGGTGATACATCAAGTCGGTGGTACATCAAGTCGGTGATACATCAAGTCGGTGGTACATCAAGTCGGTGATACATCAAGTCGGTGGTACATCAAGTCGGTGATACATCAAGTCGGTGGTACATCAAGTCGGTGATACATCAAGTCGGTGGTACATCAAGTCGGTGATACATCAAGTCGGTGGTACATCAAGTCGGTGATACATCAAGTCGGTGGTACATCAAGTCGGTGATACATCAAGTCGGTGGTACATCAAGTCGGTGATACATCAAGTCGGTGGTACATCAAGTCGGTGATACATCAAGTCGGTGGTACATCAAGTCGGTGATACATCAAGTCGGTGGTACATCAAGTCGGTGATACATCAAGTCGGTGGTACATCAAGTCGGTGATACATCAAGTCGGTGGTACATCAAGTCGGTGGTACATCAAGTCGGTGGTACATCAAGTCGGTGGTACGTCAAGTCGGTGATACATCAAGTCGGTGGTACGTCAAGTCGGTGGTACATCAAGTCGGTGGTACATCAAGTCGGTGGCAAGTCAGGTCGTAAAGTGAACTTTTATAGCAAGTAAGAGATCCTCAGATATTCAAATCTGATTGCTGCTTAACGGCCGACACCCGACCGCCCCCCCCCCCCCAACCGAATTTTTTTTGTTTTGAATCCGGGGGGGGGGGGGGGGGGGGGGGGTATTTGTTCATATTCAGCAAGAGGACTCAAAGTTTTTAAAATATCCACCAAGAAGATGTCGGATAAGAAAGGTGAGTTTTTTAAAAACCAAACATCAATTCTTGCGAAGGACCCACTGACTATAAGAAAGTCGTGTCATTCAATGATAACATTTTTAACAAAAGAGTAAGAACACCGGAAGAGACACGCCGAACAATGGCGGCGGCAATGCGTGAACTTCCCGTCTGCTAAAGTGTAGGGACACATCATGCATACAAGAAACGTACTTTACTTTGCGCGTCAACACTACAACCACATCATTCCTGACATACAATACATACCTAGAGAATTATATTGTTTGGTAGCCATACAATACATACCTAGAGAATTATATTGTTTGGTAGCCATACAATACATACCTAGAGAATTATATTGTTTGGTAGCCATACAATACATACCTATAGAATTATATTGTTTGGTAGCCATTTAATGCATATCTAGAGAATTATATTGTTTGGTAGCCATTCAATGCATACCTAGAGAATTATATTGTTTGATATCCAAACAATACATACCTAGAGAATTATATTGTTTGGTAGCCATACAATACATACCTAGAGAATTATATTGTTTGGTAGCCATACAATACATACCTAGAGAATAATATTGTTTTGTAGCCATACATTACATACCTAGAGAATTATATTGTTTGGTAGCCATACAATACATACCTATATAATTATATTGTTTGGTAGCCATTTAATGCATATCTAGAGAATTATATTGTTTGGTAGCCATTCAATGCATATCTAGAGAATTATATTGTTTTGTAGCCATACAATACATACCTATATAATTATATTGTTTGGTAGCCATTTAATGCATATCTAGAGAATTATATTGTTTGGTAGCCATTTAATGCATATCTAGAGAATTATATTGTTTGGTTTTAAACTGTATATTTAAGCCCATAACGCCCAAACTACTAGCGGCCCCAGGCAGCAGCCTCGTCAGCTTTATCAGCCTTTTTGGTCTACCAGCCTAATGGTCTTTCAGCTGTATGGTCTATTAGCATCACGGTCTATGAGCCTATCAGCCTTTTGTTCTATCTGCCAGTTGCTCTGTCAGCCTCATGCTCGATCTACCTTGAGAACTGTCAGCCTAATGGTCAATAAGTCCAATGATGACTAATGGTCAAGTCAACCAGCCAAATGGTCAACCAGCCTAATGATGAATAATGGTCAAGTCAACCAGCCAAATGGTCAACCAGCCTAATGATGAATAATGGTCAGGTCAACCAGCCATATGGTCAACCAGCCTCATGATGACTAATGGTCAAGTCAACCAGCCTAATGGTCAACCAGCCTAATGATGACTAATGGTCAAGTGAACCAGGGTAATGGTTTATCAGCCTATATGATCTATCAGAAATATTTGTCTATCAGCCTTATGGTATATCAGACTTTTGTCTAGCAGCCTTATGGTATATCAGGTCTATCAGCCTTATGGTCTATCAGACTTTTGTCTAGCAGCCATATGGTATATCAGGTCTATCAGCCTTATGGTCTATCAGACTTTTGTCTAGCAGCCTTATGGTATATCAGGTCTATCAGCCTTATGGTATATCAGACTTTTGTCTAGCAGCCTTATGGTATATCAGGTCTATCAGCCTTATGGTCTATCAGACTTTTGGCTATCAGCCTTATGGTATATCAGACTTTTGTCTAGCAGCCTTATGGTATATCAGGTCTATCAGCCTTATGGTCTATCAGACTTTTGTCTAGCAGCCTTATGGTATATCAGGTCTATCAGCCTTATGGTCTATCAGACTTTTGGCTATCAGCCTTATGGTATATCAGACTTTTGTCTAGCAGCCTTATGGTATATCAGGTCTATCAGCCTTATGGTCTATCAGACTTTTGTCTAGCAGCCTTATGGTATATCAGGTCTATCAGCCTTATGGTCTATCAGACTTGTGTCTAGCAGCCTTATGGTCTATCAGACTTTTGTCTAGCAGCCTTATGGTCTATCAGACTTGTGTCTATTAGCCTTATGGTCTATCAGACTTTTGTCTATCAGCCCTATGGTCTATCAGACTTTTGTCTAGCAGCCTTATGGTATATCATGTCTATCAGTCTTATGATCTATCATACTTTTGTCTATCAGCCTTATGGTCTATCAGACTTTTGTCTAGCAGCCTTATGGTATATCATGTCTATCAGCCTTATGGTCTATCAGACTTTTGTCTATCAGTCTTATGATCTATCAGACTTTTGTCTAGCGGACCTTGGCGTATATCAGCCGTTCCACACATACATAAATAATATATTATATATATATGGCATCCTTCCGTCTTCGTGAGACGATGGAGTAGCTATACAGTCCTACACTTTGACGGGTGGCTCACTAGGCCAATCCTAGAATGGCAATCATGATAAAAATTTTCTAAAATTCATATATATATATATATATATATATATATATATATATATATATANATATATATATATATATATATATATATATATAATCACTTATTTATATGGATGCGGTGCCAAATTACCCCCCCCCCCGTCCGACTCTGATCATATTAGACCTATTTTATATGTCATATATACTTCCTCTTTTCTGTGTAAATGTATGAGACTAGTCCAGATCATTAATCCCAGAAGTGTAAGCATATATCAACGCTCACACGATCAAAATTTCCTAAAATTTATTTTTGAACCCACTATTTTGTAAAAACACACGAATTTACATACTTTAAGAGACGAATCAACACAATGTAAGTTAAGTACACAACTTAAGATCTGTAACTGTAAGGAAGACGAATTTACACAATTTAGTTACACAACTTAACATCTGTAATGAAGAATTGACACAATGTAGGTACACAACTTAACATGACACAATGGAAAGGTACACAACTTAACATCTGTAATGAAGACGAATTGACATCTGCTATCAGCAGACAAAAATAACATCATTGTTATAATACTAATATTAGTAATATATCGTTCTGTTGTCCAATTAATTAAATTATGTTATCTTAACTAATATTTTAATTTTAAAAAAAACAAACAAAAAACTCACCAAAAAAAAACAAAACAACTTGTCTATTGTGATTCTAAACTTAATAGAGCAATTAGACCAAGTACTTACCCGTCTAATGGCCATTTCAAACAAACAGGCCACGAATGCTTTTTGAACGTATGAAACTGACTATCGATATCCCTAATGCATATTATTATCTTTATGACCCGAGCTGTCAATCTAAACGTTTTTTTTTCAACCCGGTAGCTCAAGGGCTTTTTTCAATGAATGGCAACGACACACACGCAATCGTGCGACTCGCTCTTTGTAACAAAAAAAATAATTAATAAAATAGGTCAAACCCTCTGCGTAGCTTATGAAAAAACAAATTTTGGTAAAAGCTGTCTGCCTCGAGTATTTAGAAAGCCATATAGAATAGGGGAATAAAACTTTTGCTCCATTCTTTCGAATTATAATAACTAAATATTTCCCCCTTTTTCTCTCTCTCTCTCTCCCCCTCTCTCTCTCTCTCTCACTCATTAACGGCAGTGATGCCACAACCAGGAAGTACGAAATGTAATGAATCATTATGATTGGTAGTTATTTTTAGACGACTTTTTCCCCCGTTTTATCTCCCTGGAACGAAGAGCCACGGAGGCGTCCCGGCAACGGCCTTTTAAAACGATGGGTGGCTTGAACGCGATAGTGAAAAATTACACCAACAACAAAAAAAGTATTAATGTTGTACAGAATCTCAGTTTAGTAACAAGAGAACAAATTTATTCTATTAGGCTAATCATCTATGGACTATTGTGTGTTCATTTCGAATTTAAAAGTTGTGGACAAATCGACAGTGGCTTTCTTTTTGGGTTATTTGCCCATATTATTATTATTATTATTTTTTATTTTTTTTTGTCTTAATTTGCTCAAATAGATTTTGAAGTAAAATTTATAAATTTATTCTGTTTTTAAAGATAAAATCAAAGTCTTATATTATTTTGGTCATATTTGCATTATTAGAACTAACTGTCAGAGGACAGTCAGAGAGAGATAAACAAGGCACTGAAATAAAACATTAGTCAGTCAATCGAATGTTTTCAAATTGAATATCATTTAGTAAAATTATTGGCACATAACATAACTTTACAAGACTATTAAGGCGAAACTTTACTTTATGCTTTATATAAATTATATATTTTTCATTAAAAAAAAATGTGCAGCATTTCAAAGAAAAGATTTTAAAATTAAAAATGGAAATAAATTTCCTAAAAATTTGTTAGATCTAACGCAATCTATTTCATTTTGTCATCATGCCATGACATGAGTAGATACTACCGTTGCCCCTGCTTCACAATCTTTGGTTTATTAGCCTCGCCACCGTCCTCTAGTTCGCGTTGCACTTCCTGGATTGTTTTTTTCCCCTTCAGAATCTGGCGTTGACAACAAACTCGTCGTATCGAGCAGGAAAGCTTACATTAGGGGTTCTCAAACATTTTTAACAAGGGGGTCGGGTCACTGTCCTCTGACAATGTTGGGATCGGATAAGCGTGCCTCAGACACTGGACAATGGCCGGATCATAGTTTGAACATTTTTTGAACGAATCCTATGCACACTGCACATATCTTATTTGTAGTTGTTGTGAACAAAAAAATATTGAACAAACAATAACATATATAACATGAAGAAAAAATGAAACTCAACCTTAATAATATTTTAAAGGGTGATACGGTGAATGAGATGAACAATGTCCGGTTTCATATTTGTTGCTGCTAGCCGGCTACTCTTACGGCTGCCAGGATTACGAACCCCTGACGGGCTTGATCCGGCACGCCGACTAAGCTTTGAGGACTCCTGGCCCACATTAACTACACAATACTGCGCGGTTACTTCCTGGTATCGTTATGATGTAGTGTGTCTCTCCAACGCCACCACAAAGGTTTTAGTTAATTTTATTGTTGTGTTAATTCTAAGAATTATTGGGAAACGGGGGTGCTATTATTTATTTTAAGTGTTTTTACTTTAATTAGTGGACTACTTCAAATGAATGTGATTTCTATTTATGGTACAGAGATCACGTGATGTACTCCATTGGTGGTATTCGAATAACTAAATTGATTTAAATTTCACAACCGGTTCTTTGCCCTTTAAACCAAGTATTATTATATCGGTACCATGCGCGCCCGCAGGGGAGGGGGCAAGGGGGGGCACTTGTCGTCCCCCCCCCCTGGATTGATTGGATAAAAAAAAAATTAGACAAAAATTGACAAAAAATGTATTAAAGTAAAGAGAAAATAAAGAGAAAGTAACTAAGCTGATGTCCTGTCCGTTCGATCACCATACAAATACGCTACAGTAAATTAAAGCTACATTAAAACATTACTAAAAAATGTTTGCCCCCCCCCTGCAAAGTTAATCGATTTTTTTGCCCCCCTCCCCTAGAAAGTTTTCTGCGGGCGCCCACGACCGGTACCGAAAACTAGTGTATTAGTTAATGCAGTTAATAATACAATTTAAATACGAAACAATGAAACAGGTAGGCCTTCACACAATTAGATTAAGTTATAAGAAAGACTAATAAAACATACAAGGGGACAAAAACTTAATAAAACCTGATATAAAAAAATAGCCGATGCTTAAGTTCGGGAGCAGCACAAAGACAAAGCTGAAGGCTTAAACAAACGACAGTGTCATTTAGGGTTGCCAGGTCTGCTTCCAAACAGTGTCATTTAGGGTTGCCAGGTCTGCTTCCAAACAGTGTCATTTAGGGTTGCCAGGTCTGCTTCCAAACAGTGTCATTTAGGGTTGCCAGGTCTGCTTCCAAACAGTGTCATTTAGGGTTGCCAGGTCTGCTTCCAAACAGTGTCATTTAGGGTTGCCAGGTCTGCTTCCAAACAGTGTCATTTAGGGTTGCCAGGTCTGCTTCCAAACAGTGTCATTTAGGGTTGCCAGGTCTGCTTCCAAACAGTGTCATTTAGGGTTGCCAGGTCTGCTTCCAAAAAATAGCGGACAAGCGCCCGGGGGTTGGGGGGGGGGGTTAGTTGTTAAATAGTGTTTTTTTTTCATATCAATGGATATTCGATCTTTGTCTCATTCTAACATATGGGGGGGGGGGGAGACAAAACGCTATTCTTCTAATCCTTATTCTCTTAGACCGTACAGCTTTAGTTTACGTACCATTTCATCGTAAAGGTTTTGAATATATATAAAAAATTAAAAAAAATGTCCACTATTTTTTGAAAAAAGAAACAAACAATAGTGGACATAATGAAAGCGGACTGTCCGCTCAAATAGTGCACACCTGGCAACCTGAGTGTCATTTGTCATTTCATCTCCAGCCCTCCCACGGGGTGTTGGATCTTCTTCTCTGTGATCTTCTTCTTAGGCTATCCGTGTGTTTACTCTGACATAACAAACGAGAGGAAATACAAAATGTAGTATTTTATGGACAATACTATTTTATATCATGAAAACTACAATACTATTTTATATCATGAAAACTACAATACTATTTTATATCATGAAAACTACAATACTATTTTATATCATGAAAACTACCCTACCGTAATAGATAGCACAACCAAAGTCCGTTAAAAAATTTCACGCATGGACATGGACATGGACGGTGTGAAAAGTACAACGGACGGTTAGGCCGACGCAGTTGCGGGAATGAACTTCAAAAAAAAAAGGCTAACGGTAAGAAATTATGCGCGTATGCCCAGGCACCCACTTAAGACTTCCTTTATCTCATTGCTTTACATGTCACTTACCTCACATGAACTCAGCTTAAGACTTCCTTTATCTCATTGCTTTACATGCCACTTACCTAACATGAACTCAGCTTAAGAATTCCTTTATCTCATTGCTTTACATGTCACTTACCTCACATGAACTCAGCTTAAGACTTCCTTTATCTCATTGCTTTACATGTCACTTACCTCGCATGAACTCAGCTTAAGACTTCCTTTATCTCATTGCTTTACATGTCACTTACCTCGCATGAACTCAGCTTAAGACTTCCTTTATCTCATTGCTTTACATGCCACTTACCTCACATGAACTCAGCTTAAGACTTCCTTTATCTCATTGCTTTACATGTCACTTACCTCACATGAACTCAGCTTAAGACTTCCTTTATCTCATTGCTTTACATGTCACTTACCTCGCATGAACTCAGCTTAAGACTTCCTTTATCTCATTGCTTTACATGTCACTTACCTCACATGAACTCAGCTTAAGACTTGCTTTATCTCATTGCTTTACATGTCACTTACCGCGCATGAACTCAGCTTAAGACTTCCTTTATCTCATTGCTTTACATGTCACTTACCTCGCATGAACTCAGCTTAAGACTTCCTTTATCTCATCGCTTTACATGCCACTTACCTCACATGAACTCAGCTTAAGACTTCCTTTATCTCATCGCTTTACATGCCACTTACCTCACATGAACTCAGCTTAAGACTTCCTTTATCTCATTGCTTTACATGTCACTTACCTCACATGAACTTAGCCCCACTGCAGGCCCGTTCTTAGGCCTACGCTGACTACGCATCCGCGTAGGGCCCCGAACTTGAGGGGGCCCCCGTGAGGCGCCCTCGATCCCCCAGTTTTTTGTTAAATTGGCACTGCAGCCGTCTGTGTCACTCACTTTACCTTCCTCATCCTGAAATGTATCATTCAGAGTTTAATTCGGAGGCAGGGGAAGGGAAGCAGCAGGGGGGAGCTTTGGGAGTTGCAGACAGGAAATCGGCAGAATGGAGGTGCCGCAGTGATGGGTTGTGTTTTCTCCTCAGCTCGAGGGAGCTCCACCCCCGGACCCCCCTTTCGGGGCCCCCAACCTACGCTCCATGCTTAGGGCCCCCAAACTTCTAAGAACGGCTCTGCCGACTGGTTGTAAAGTGTATTGCAATTTAATTTGAAATCTAACCTTATATTAGGGGCCGTCCATAAAGTACGTCACGCTATTTTTGACCATTTTCCCTCCCTCCCCCCTGTCACAAACTGTCACAAATCTCGGAGCCCCCCTCCCCTAAAGTACGTCACACTTTCGAACAATTTTTTAAAAATTAACACTTAATTAAAATTTAATCTAAAACACACTTCACTATTAAACTGTATTAAAATATAATATTTCCACTTAAAAGACATATCACAATATTAAAATGACTTTAATAGTAGAATAGTTAATTGTCAACAGCTGTCACAGTTATTCATTGAAGCAGTAACTCAATCTAGATTGAATTTGAAAGCAAAAATTAGACTAGACTTTTATATAATACACATCATTTATCCGCTGCTTTTTCATTTACAATAGGTGAGGTCAAGTTTTAGATAATCATCCGATCATGTAATCTTTTTACACGGGATTAGAAGTAGATTAGCGAAACTTGACCTCACCCAGTGATTAAATAATAAAAAGGACAGTGACATAATTATGCAGCGGACAACATAGAAATAATAATACTTCAGGAAAGATGAAAGCAAGGCTATACATAAA